CTCTTTTCAGTGTGGACCCTCGTCCATCAGGAAATAACATTACTCTCCCAGGGGAAGCTCAAAATAACACTTAAAATAGTGTTCCTGCTAAATCCTCCTGTTGCCCTGGTGCTATGCAGTTCCTTTAAAGAACAGCTCTTGTGATTAACACAGTCAAACGTCTCTAAAGTTGCATGTAAAAAAGCCTTTATGTACCAAACAAGGCACGCCTCACACCTGGTCATTTGCCCAGCTTTTGCCCTGATTCTTCCTGACCTTAGATTAGTGCCTCTCCTCCTTTAGTCTTCCATGGGGTGGCAGTTATAGCCAACTACTGCCCTTCTACCCGTGTCTCTGAATTCCACTATTGTTAATATTAAGCAACTCACAAAATTCCTCTTCACTAGGTCTCCCTCCAAGTTTGCCCAATAGTTCAAATCCCAGTGTTAGTCTTAGAGAGTTCAAAGCTGCTCATTAAAATTATGCATGCTAAACTGTAATAATAAATTTTGGGCTAAAATTATAATATTTTTTCAAAGTAATTTAGAGTGAAAATTTTCAGAATTTTCTGTTTTGCATAATTGGGAAAAACAGCCGAGTTTTTCAGATTAACACATAATGGTGGTATTACAACAAAGATTTATCATTATTTCTTCCCTTATTAATTCATTCATTCAAAAATAGTTGAGTACCAGGTATTCTGCTGGACCCTGTGAATATAGTGAACAAAAGAAAAATAATCACAAGACATTATAGCTATAATTTCTATACTGTACTACTTATCTCCAGAATTATCTGGCATAAAAATTTTATTTAATTAAAAAAAAAACAAATTGGGGAGTGGGAGAAACACATGGGAAGTAAATATGCCATGACTAAATATCAAATGAATTCTTTATATCTAAGTTTTATGAACATGTAACAATTATTATACCTAACACTGAAATATTTGCTGTTCACTTAAAGAATACCAGTATTTTAAAATTTCACTATACAGATACATATCACAAAAAAATGTACTAATTGCTTGAACAGAACTGTTTATCAACAGTAATAAAATTTTATAAAATGTTCATGCCAAGACTGAAAAAAAATAGCACAATGACTTTATAACTAAGACATACTATAAATATATTATCAAAAGATAATTTCTACTCTTCCTAGCACATAAAAGATAATTTATGGTTCCCAAACTTAATTGTTTCTGTATTAGAACAAACATACAAGTATATCCATAATTTTCTTACCAAAATAGAGCCCAATATACATACAGAAAATAATTAGGAAAATAAGTTTATCCTTAGCTTTAACATGGATGTGTAGATATAAACATGTGCATTCACAGGAATAACATACACTGACAAAAAATTATACTTAGCAAAGGTCCAAAATTAAACTACAAAAATCCTGCTAGGAATTTTTTTCTGTCTTTGAGGCTTAACAAAGGATGCAGAAAATTACTGAAGTAACAAAAAAAGGACACAAAAAACACATTTCAAACAGACAAACTGCTTGTCAGTATTAGGACCTGATTTGACATACAGGTTTAATCCACTTCCTCAAAAGTCATGCCATCAAGGTGAAGGATGAACATCTTCCACTACTAAATGGGGCTGGCTGTCATTATTCTGAGAAGCAGGATTTACCTCCACATGGATTACTTTATCTGAGGTTCCTGCAGGAGAAACTTCGTTATTTGTCTCCTCTTCACTAGGTGATAAGGTTTCAGGCAGTTCATTTGACATTAGAAATTGCAAAGGTTCTGTTCTATTTTCAACATCCACTTGAATCCCCAAAGCTTTAAGAATATCGCATTTGCAAACAGGGCATGTCCCGTGGGGTAAAATCCAGGGGTCAATGCAATTCTTGTGGAAAAAATGTTTACAAGTCAGAATACGAACTATGTCATTAGGCTTATAGAATTCAAAGCAAACGATGCAGCGATCCCCATTTGGATTTATTTCCTCATCCCCCTCTTTTAACACTCGAAGCTGGAGTTGTCCAAACGCATTCTTAAGATCTGCTGCTAATCGCTGCCATCTCCGGTTCTGAATCCTTGCTACCCAAAGTCTATAAATGCGGTAAAAGATGAAATATGCTAAGGTAGCAGTTGCGACAATCACAAAAGAGACCAAATAGTGATTCACCCAGATGGTGTGCTTTCTTCCCACCTCAACCATGGCCGTAACGAGAACTCCCTTCTTAATCAAATGGAAAATTTCTGTGCCTTTTAAGTTACCAATCATAACCACAACAACACCTTCAAATGCCTGATGAAACATGGGGAACACCTGGTTGCCAGTTCCTGGAAAGTTATAGATGATCACTCCACTGGCTCCCTTCTCAGTTGCCACTTTAATTTTCTGTGTGAAGGTACAACCTCCACGTTCAATAAGGGCAAGCCAGGTCTCTGAGTACTTTGATCGGCTGAAAATGGTATTGGGATTACAAGCATTTTGGGTATTTCCCTCTGGTGGTACTATAATTCCTGCCACTCTCTTCAAAGTGGAGCTTCTTCCAAAGATTCCAGTCTCTCCCAACTTTGACAACACACGATTCCCAACATGAAATGATATGTTCATGTAAGCCGTCCAAACACTTGCTCTGCAACAGTTCTGACCAACAAGCCAAAGAACGCTGAACTTTATAAGCCAGGAAGACACAGTGTTATTTCTCCAAGTGCCAATCTTGAGTAGATGCATCTCTCTCTTCTCCTAGTGACTTAACAATCAACCCAACAAACAGTTCCACATCTGTTGACAATTAATTTAAAATAACAAAGAGAAAAAAATCTTCAGGATCCAAACAAGATCCACTGTCTTCCAGCATGTTTCTCTAAGAAATTCTTAAATATAGCTTATGAGTTTCAGATGTCTTATTAGAGAGGGGAGAAAAACTTTAGATTGAAAAATAAATCCCCTACTCTACATACTGCTTACTGTTGTGTGATGTGATTATGACATGCAAGATCAGGCAGCCAATTAGATAAGAGCTTAGAGCAAACTGTGAATTTATTAACTTAAATGCTGTTATGGGTGATTTCTATGTTGTGTAAGATGGATAGAATCACTGAGCCACACATATAATGGTACTGGGTAGCACACGAAACTAAAAATTAAATCTAAAATTCATAAAAAGGCATGCTCTTCAAAGCCTGAAAGCACATGTAAGAAGGCTACATACTTTCTTTTAATAGCAAGTGAAGGAGATATTGCCAACAAAGTGGCAAGCTAAAAAAAAAAAAAAAGTATAATTAAAAATTAGTGCTGTGATCAGGTGTGAGGCAAAAGTGGCGAACTCAGTGACATTATTTTTATATCAAAAAGCAAAATCACAGTGCTAATTTTTGATTCATCACATAAACCCTTGTATTGCGTTTATTTAATTTAAGCTTGCTGAGAAGTTTGTTGCTTTAATGTTTTGATGTTTTAAAGTAGGGGATCCTGCTTAGTTTACTTCTGCCTCACTTTCTCCATCTTTCATTGACTATACAAATGGAGTATGTCTGATAGGAGTAAAGACAGGACTGACATTTAGGGAAGCTAATTTCTCTGCAGACCTTGACATCCATTATTAATCAAACAATATTTTGAAAGAGGAAGAGAAAAGTGTGTCCAGGGAAAGATTAAATATAGTCATATTAGTTTGACACAATTCATTTTTTAAAAACAGCTATTAAGAAAAACTTCAATGTGCACACTTAACCATTAGCAGCAATAAGTAGATCTTTTATCAAATATTTTTGCAGAACTCAACAAATATCTCTATTGGAAGATTCTACACTCTGTCTGCTCTGACTACGTTTTTGCTACAATCATGTCAGCGGCACAATATGACCTCAAAGCTAAAGGATAACGTGTGAACTCACAAGCATAATCACAAGCAGCCACGCTGCTACTGATACACTGTCTTGGGGGTGAATCTCAGTGTTTTTTGTTTTGTTTTGTTTTGTTTCCAACCAGCTAGGAAACCAAGGCCAAAGCTTCTGACATTGAACATAAATGTCTCTGGCCTCCATGTGTAAAGTGCTAAAAGTCTTGATTGGATCTCACCAAGACTAATGGAGCTGCTACTTCTTATGAAATGTGAATCTACCACATGATAATTTGAAACAAGAAAGGGCCCTAGGAACCCAACTAAAACTAGTATGAAAAGAATACTGATGATATGAAACCTACCCACAATGGTTGATTTTCTCTCCCAAAGGCCATTAATCCAGTTTTATTTCCATATGTCCCTGTATTTTTTAAAAGGTAGTACATTGTGGGTATACTCATGAAGTGCCACTGAGTTAGGCATCAAAGGTTTAGCATATCATCCAGAAAGAGAAATTTTCATCGACACAACAATATTTAAATCTTTCTGTCTCTCATTTTTATATAGGTGTTTATTCATCTACTAGAAAAAGAAAGGAAGATGCAAAATAAGGCAAAGAATATAACATGGAAAGGCAACTGAATAAAATTTTAGCTCTGCTCTATGTTATCAAAATGCCCCAGAGAAACAACATACCATTTGAAGAGGAAAAAGGAAGCATTTACTAAGGACACTTCTAGGAAAGAAATCTGCTACCATAGCTGAGTCACTATGGACTTAACGAGGACTTAAAGAGCTCTGGCAAACAATGGTGAATGTTTGCAATGAGGCCTATAATAATTTAGAACACGTTTCCTTACATAACTAAAGTATTATCATCTAAAATAATTATTTAGAACACATTACCAATCCAATGAGTAGCTTTGGAAACTAGATTTCCTGGGTATTAATAAAATTAATTAATCATGGAGAATCAGAGATATAAATTATTAGATACAAAAATTAGTCAAAATGTGAAACAAAGTACAAGAATTAGTATTAAAAAAGGAAACTTAAAAAGCATGGCTAATTCTCTATAGCAATGTCACAATCCTAGTAACCTGAAGAAAAACACTTTGTTTTCAACATATACTAATGTTCTTATCTGGATAAGAGCAAAAAGGTATAACAGTTAAAACTGATTAGAAAGACGAGAAGTACAAATAGCTGGGCATGATATGGAGTTTTATTGAAACACGAATTTCACACTTGTTGGTACTTGGGTAGAGAAGCTGAAATTTTCTCTCTTTATAAAGTACAATAAGAGAATTTAATCTTAATATTTGGAAAGATCTGGTTACATCTTCAGAAAATTCTCGGGATTTCTTAAATTTTCAGCATGTCACACTTGCACATGGGACATGTCCTATGGGCTAAAAGCCAGGGGTCAATGCATGCCTTATGGAAAAAATGTTTGCAAGTTAAAATGCGTACTACATCTTGGGGTTTGTATGTGTCAAAGCAAACAACACAACTGTCTTCATTTGGGTCTAATTCCTCATCCCCTTCTTTAAGAACTCGCAGTTGAAGCTGGCCAATAGCTTTCTTCACATCTGCCTTTATCTGACTTCGTGTCCTGGTGGAAGAATTGGGCACTCTAGGTCTCCAGACACAATATAAGAAAAGGTAGGCAACTGTGGCAGCCAGGAAGGTAAACAGAGACATGACGTAATGGCTCAGCCATGGCATGTGCATTCTCCCCACTTCAATGATGATTGTCACATAGACTCCTTTCCGAATCAAGTGCAAAAGTTCCATGCCTTTCAGGTTGCCTATCATCACCGCGACTATATTTTCCGTCCCCTGGTGAGACATGGGAAATACTTTATTGCCCGTACCTGGATAGTTGTAGATGATCACCCCATTTGCTCCTTTCTCTGCTGCAACGTTGATTTTATGTGTAAAAGTACAGCCTCCTCGTTCAATGAGGGCCAGCCAAGAGTCCGCCTGTTCGGGCCTGCTGAAATTGGTCAAAGGATTACAAGCATTCTGATTCCATCCTTCAGGGAGTGCCACCGCACCAGACACCCTTTCCAGAGGAGAATGATTCCCGAACACTCCACTCTCTCCTAATTCTGATATGATCTTATTTCCCACCTGAAATGTTATATTCAGGTGAGCTGTCCAAATGGCTTTTCCATTTGAGTCAGGAAGGCTAAGTAGTAGAAAGATACTAAGCCTCAAAAGTCCAGATGAAACAGAACTATGAGTCGAAGGAGTAATCCTGAGGAAGCTCATGCCTCCATTTGTCTATTAACAGACAAACACGAGAAAACAAAACAACATCAATTGTAAAGGAACATAAAGACGACAGTTTGTTGGCAGTAGATTACTAAAGCACATAAATGGAAAAGGTCTCCCTGGATAAAAGGTATCTTGCTCCTTCCAGCATTTTTATATTTGGTAGATTATCTTTCTCATAGTGAAACAAAATAACAGGACTTGTGATTGGTACCATGTGATTTCAAAAAAATTATGACATCCTAATGGGGAAATTGTGACATCAGAGGTAGTTAAACCAATCCAAGTGTTTATATTAGTGCATTGCATACTGAAATCTTATTGGCCAGAAAGCTAAGCAATGAGTCAAAATATATAACAATTTGAATAAGCTGTAAAGCAATAAATAAATTGGTAGGAATTTTTTAAAGCCTTGGAGTCAAGATACATAAAAATTTGAATCAGCTGTAAAGCAATAAATAAATTGGTAGGAATTTTTTAAAGCCTTGGGTTTCTTCCTTCATTCTGAATAGACAAAGGAAATCTACCCAGTCATGTAAAAAATTTTTTTCTAGCTGTAAGGCAATGGCAAAGATAAAAATAATTCATGTATTAGTGCATGTACCTGGGCCAGCTGCCAGTTTTTATGTATGGTTCAACGCTACCCAATATACCATTCTGTGGGTAGCAGGAGCAAACCATTCCCACCTACTTTCAGCAAAAATGTCTATCCCACACCTAAAAATTCAACATAAAGAAAACAGAGTGTAAACTCAGATTGTTAGCCTGATACAGTCTCATCTTCTGCTGAGAACCTACTGTGTTCTAGGCAAATACTGAAAGTGGAGCATATGTTAGAGAAGAAAATAGAAATAGCCCTACTCTTGTAGAGACTAAGGATTTTAGATGATGTCCTAAGGACAAGAGAAACACACTGTAGGGTTCTAATCCAGGGAGGTGACAAATGTGTTTCAAAGTTTTCACTTCGGCTGCTTTATGGGGAAAGTGTATTGGACAGAGAGAATAACATGAGATGAGCTTAGGTAAAAGAAGATAGTAGCCTGGACTTGAAGTAGCAGTATAGATGTAGAGACACAGACAAAGGCTGAATAACAGATTTAGTAACTGGAAGGATAGTACTAGAAAGAGGAAAGCATGGCCACAATGATAACAAATCACTACATTATTTTTGCAAACTACAGAATCTTTACTGCTTTAAAGATGACTTATTGTTTACATTTATTTTAAATCTTTATCTAAAGTCTGTTTCAGGGAGTCAATAAATTGACAACACCCACTCAAATATTATCTACCATGTATAGGACATCTTTTTTTTTTTTCTCCCATTTATTTTATTGCATTTTAGGTTTTGGGGTACATGTGAAGAACATGCAAGATTGTTGCATAGGTACACGTGTGGCAGTGTGATTTGCTGCCTTCCTCCCCATCACCTCCATCTGGCATTTCTCCCCTTGCTATCTCTCCCCAGCTCCACACCCCCCACCGTCCCTCCCCTATTTCTCCCCAACTGACCCCTGTGTGTAGTGCTCCCCTCCCTGTGTCCATGAGGACATCTTCTATGTGCACAGCAGGCCACAAAGTCCTAGGGATAGAAAAAAGACCCTATTTCCCAGTGTGCAAAATGGACATGAACATTTAATCATTAACATGATAGAGTTTTCTCATTTTGACAAAAGCATTTATTATATTCCCTGGCCCATTATATTTTAGTTAATATTTGCTTTTTTTTGGAAAAAAAAAAAAAACTAGCAAACAGTCTATTAGTCCCATTCATACAATTCTATTAAAGCATGACTCAGTTCGCATCTGAACTGTCCTTACAGGTAGACTTTTTCTTTATGTTCAAATGGGGTGAATTCCTGGCTGATTCTATCAAGAGTGACAAATTGAAGCCTCATTAAGAAGACGGTTTAACATCATCATATTAGAGGCAATTTGTTAGATCTGTGATTATTTAACCTTTGGAAGCGGAATTACAAAATAATGTAATTCTGACTTTTTTATTTTGCAGATTTTTTTGTGGATGAAGAGTTTAACTTGTAACTACATTTTGTTTTAAAACATATCTCACATCAAAAGGTTCTCTGTATGGTTGAAAAGACTAATTTGAAGAACTTAGCTAATTAATTCTGTTTTTCTCATTATAAAATAAAGTGGTTAAAGCAATGATAAAACGGCCCTCTCTTTTGCCCCAGTCTTAGAACAAAATAGACCTATAAGAAACAAACATCTATCTCTAACAAAGTGGTTTTCAAGTTAGGAGCAATTTCTGAAGACGTTTTTTATTGTCACAATTAGAGAGTGCTACTAGCATCTAGCAAAAATACACCAGGGTTGCTGCTAAAACACCTTAAAATGCACACAGTATTCCCACATGATAAGAAATTATGAGGCCCAAAATAACAATATTAAGGTTAAGAAACCCTGATCTAATGAAATAGCCTAAGGAGAGAAGAATCCCAAAACTCTTCCATCCCTGATGGATGGGTCAGGTATAAATTCTTGACACAGAATAAGCTTTTATAATTGGCAATATCACCATCAAGGATAATGTCCTCAATGCAACTCAATTTCCCCAGTTTTCCCTGGAATAGAAATAGCAGAGATCTGTACAAGTTACCTATTAGTCCATTAAGTATGATGTCAAATTGCATCTATTTTATCAGAATGAGGTCTAAGAGTCTTCTTGGAGCAGCATGTGAATGGGGGGGGGGGGGAGAAGAGAAAGAGAGACTGGATCACTGAGGTAAGTGTAAAAAAATCATTTTTTTCACTATAAATTACAACTATATACATTTTCTTGCAAGAAAATATGTGTGTGTATGTTTATATATATAAATATATGTATTTTTATATATAAAAATGTTTTATATAAATAAAAAATATATTTTTATATATGTATTATATATTTTATATATATTATATAATACACACACACAAACACACACACACACACACATTTTTTTTTTCCAGGAAGTTGCCAGACTTCTCTCAGTGTCACTTTGGCTAGAATTACTTCACAAACCCATGCCTAATGGAATCCTTGGAAACTGCAGTGGAGTCAACATGATGGTCTTAGGTTAATAATGATTTATCCTGTTGCAGAGAGCTCTTTCCCTGGCTGAGCACATGGCCAGAGGAAGGGTGACGATTTGAATGCTCTGTTACCAAGGGGAAAGACATGAACCAGAAGGTAAGTAGGTAGGCACAATGGCAGTTACAGGCTCTGCATTCCCGAAGTACCCCCAAAGGAATAATACTTAACCATTAACCACAACAAACATGTAATATGCACTATACACAAGTCACTGACATGAGCCAGAGTCTATGCTAATGGGGACACAACATGGCTCTGACCTTAAGGAGGGCACTATCCAGGCAGAATTAAAGGGTTATATGCAAGTTATTTATATATATATATATGTGTGTGTGTGTGTGTGTGTGTGTGTGTGTGTGTGTGTGTGTGTGT